GGAGCAATTTTTCCTATACACACTTGCAGCCTCTCTTCTCTGCTTTGTCACACACACACCTGGGGAGGTGGAGTGGGCATCTCAACTTTGTAAATGTGGAAAGAGTAAGGATGTTCAGCATGGCAATTCCTTTGTTCTTTTTCTCGGGAGTGCCCTCCTTTCTAGAGTGGAACTGAGGTCCCTTACGCCTCCATATGCAATTCATTTCTGGGCAGGCAGTCATGTCTTGATGGGGTAGGTAAGAAACCTTCCTAGTTCAGGGGTTCAGTTAGCTGGTCTGATGGATTCTCACCCTAAGCCAGAGGCCCTTGCTTAGTGTCTGTGATAAAAGAGGTAATATTTGGCTTCCACCTTGACGTTTCTGTTTTCTCATAATTGTTGAGAATTGGGCTACAAGAAGGTGATTATTTATTGGAGGGTCCCCTGGAGGCCTTAATATTCCTTACTCCTAGGAAGATCTGGTGAAAACTTGAGGTGTGCTGGCCTATGTATTGAAGTTGCATTCCTATCTGCTCAGTCCCACACTGGGAGTCCCTTCAAAGCGGGAATTCTATTCCTCTCTAATTCCCCTTTCTCCCTCATAATCTGCCTTTTGCCAGTGTCTACAGAAAGGAGCTAAAGAAGAATTTTATTATCTACACATCTTGGGTTTCTTGGGTATAGAAAAGCAGGCTTAATACCATGAAAATCTTCTCTTCAGAGATTATCTGGTCGTTTCAAAAATGAAATTAATAAAAACAACATATGAAATTGACCATTTTCCTAGAGCACACGTGGTGAAGTTTTTGTTGTAACTGACAAACCAGGTGCAGAATATTCCATGTATAATTTAGACCCCTTCCCTGTGGGCTGCTCTGCTGGTTTTGTATATAACTTCAGTTATTATTGCCATTAAGAAAAGATATTTTAGGGACAAACTCATTTTTTGAATAGATTGTTATCTCAAATTAAAAAAGATTACGGGAACTGGCAATCAATGCAGCATCTAATTGCTATTTCTCCAATTAAAAATTAATATACAGAAAGAGCTGCCTGGAACCAATTGGTCTTTAGATAATTTTGAAATAAGGAAAAAAATAACATTTAAAAGCAGAGGGCTTGGGTGAGTACAGGAAGGGTTTGTGGCGCCTGGTCTCCTTTGCAGCAAAGGCTGTGGGAACAAGTGTGTTCTGCCCTTGTGCCTATGACCGCCACACCCAGGGTGATTGGAAACAAAGGAACGCTGAGCTTGCGTCTCATTGTTCCTCCTCTGTTAAAGATTTATGTATAAAATCACTGTATTTTGTGATGTACTTAAGAATAGATGGCAGGTGTCATTTTCGTACAGTGCATGTCATCTAATTGAGGCGGTGGAAAATGTGTGTGACGGTGCTTGTGCTAAAAATGTTTCTCTGTTCTTTGAGGATGTCAGCGATGCCGTCCCAGCTCCTCTTCTGCAGAACTTCATTTGCTAAGCAGTGTTTGAATAGATGGGCACCAAGGAAAATGAAATCAAAGAAAGCCTCTTATGTCTTGAAGACAGGACATCCTTCCGCTTGGTTCAAAATAAGCCCCTTTAATCTGAAATAGTCATATTTTGCATTTTGAGTATAACAGGTACTTGGTTTTAAGCTGGAACAAATTATACCGTGTGTGTATACATACATACATATTTACATATGTAATATGTATGTATTAAATAAGCAAAAAAGCTCTTGTATTCAGCAATCTAATGAGCTCCCAGTGAAGAGAGTGCGTTTCACTGGGAAAGGAGCAGGTCTCCATTCAATGAATCATGGTTGCTCCTGGAACCTCACAGAATCCACACCTGGGATACAGGATGCTACTTCAGGCTCTCACATCTGCAGAACTGGAGAAGGTGCAGAGAAAGACCATGGGAACAATTCAAGGGATGGTAGGCTGACTAGAAAGGATGAAGCTTTGGAGTGGAAAGACTGAAGCAGAGAAGGGATGCATCAACTGCCTGCAGATGCATGAAAGGATTGGTGCAGGTGAGCGTGAACCTGCCGGCAAAGCCCAACCATACAAACCCTGGGTACCGGCTGGGAAATTGGTGAAGAGAGCTGTAGGAATCAGAAGGGAAATAACTGATAGGAGACTGACAGGCACGTTCAGAACCAAGGCAAGGCAAGCTTCGCAGAATATAGGCACCACCCATGTGGGGCTCCTTGTCCACAGGTGAGGTAAAACGCCAATGATTCTCATCAAATATGGATGATGAATCTCTTATGTGATACCAAGGAAGACACGAGAGCCCTCTCACAATTCCTTGTTTTGTGCTGCTTTCATCTTTGCTCTGAGTCTCACTGAACAGCCCCTCTTGGTCCTCAACCATCTAAGCCTGAACCTGGGGAGACTCCCAGGCACCTTTCCTCCATCCCACCCAACCCTCAAGGCTTTCCACTGCTGACTCCTAAGTACCTCTCTAGTCCACTCTGGCTTTTAGCCAACAGAACCACAGCTTTACAAATGCTCCAACCCTATGAAGACCCATTAAATCAGAATCTAGGGGCTGGGGTGAGGCTGAAGCATTGGTATTTTTAAAAACTCCTCTGCATGTGAGCTGAGATCTGGCCACTGCACTCCAGCCTGGGCGACAGAGCGAGACTCCGTCTCCAAAAAAAAAAAAAAAAAACTCCCCTGCATATGAAATTCTGGGTTAAAAATTATTTTCTTTAAGAATGTTGAATATTGGCCCCCACTCTCTTCTGGCTTGTAAGTTTCCTGCAGAGAGATCTGCTGTTAGCCTAATGGGCAATTCCTCAAGGATCTGGAACCAGAAATACAGTTAGACCCAGCAACCCTATTACTGGGTATATGCCCAAAGGATTATAAATCATTCTATTATAAAGACACATGAACACGTATGTTTATTGCAGCACTATTCATAATAGCAAAGACTTGGAACCAACCCAAATGCTCATCAATGATAGACTAAAGAAAATGTGGCACGTATATACCATGGAGTTATATGCAGCCATAAAAAAGGATGAGTTCCTGTCTTTTGCAGGGACATGGATGAAGCTGGAAACCATCATTCTCAGCAAACTGACACAGGAACAGAAGACCAAACACTGCATATTCTCACTCATAAGTGAGAGTTGAACAATGGGAAGACATGGACACAGGGAGGGGAACATCACACACCGGGGCCTGTTGGGGGTTGGGGGTCCAGGAGAGGAAGAGCATTATGACAAATACCTAAGGCATGCAGGGCTTAAAACCTAGATGATGGGTTGATGAGTGCAGCAAACCACCATGGCACATGTATACCTATGTAACCTGCATGTTCTGCACATGAATCCCAGAACTTAAATTTGAAGAAAAAAAAAAACAAAAACCGTTCTAAGCTGAGGGAAGAGTAAGTGCAGAGACTTTAAGGCAGGAACAAGCTTAGATATCAGAGGAACGAAAAAGAGACCAAGTCAGTGCAGCTGGAACATAAAGGACCAAAGAAACCATGGGAATTGAAATTGAAGAGAGAGGAGGGTGCTAGACCAAGCTGGACCTCATAGGCCTAGGTACAGCATTTGAATTTTATTCCAAATGCAATAAGAAGCTAGTGGAAGGGAGAGATAAGATCTGGGTTGTGTCAACAAAACCACTGTGGCTGCTCTGTGGGAGGCAAGAGTGCTATCAGGGAGAAGGACTGGAAGACCATTGCAGGAGTCCAGATTAGATACCATAGTGACCACATTTTTTAAAAAAGCAAAAACAAAAAACAAATGAAAAAATTCTACACTGACCAACTAAATTATTTTTTCTTCCTCACACAAACCTCAGGTTCTTCTACCTCTGTCTTTTATCATACACTTCTTTCTTGTGAAGTGCCTGAATTTTCAATAACTCTGCATAAAATTCCTATGACTTTCTAAGGCCGGGTTCCATTCTCCCAAGTTTTCCCAGTCCCCGCTCCAACACTTTGGAAGACATTACTCCTCAAAACTCCCTTAACATTTACTTGTACTTCTCTTACAGTGCTTACCACTTTGGACCTAAAATTTTAACATGGATGTGCCTATCTCATTTCTCTTTGAAGAATTTCAGTTTCTTGGAGGTGGGTCTTCAGGATTTTTTTTTTTTTTTGGTAGCCCTTAGTGCCAAAAAGTAAAGTGGTTTCAACATGGCAAACTCGTGGTTTTAAGATCTTTATAGGTACCTGATCCATTACTTTTCATACCTTTCTTATGCTATAGGCACTATTATTGCATTAGCATCCTCATTTACAGATAAAGAAGCACAGAGAAGCTAAGCCAAGATTACAGTTAGTATGTGGTTGAGTCAAGATTTGAACTGAGTCTGGTCCATATGAACAGCTATGCTATGCTGCTTTTCAAACCATTGAGTAAGTGATTAAGGATCAGGAGTTAGTACAGTGTGCCAAGGAAATACTTATACTTCAGCAGGATCCTTCTGATAACCAGGGCATCAGTCCAAAGCAGTGATTCTAGGGGCAATAGGTTGACAGCAAGGCTGAGCTGGGGCCTCATCAGTGTTCATAGTTCTAAGCCTCAAGGAACCTACCTGAACTTCTGTCCATCCCCTTATCTCCTGGCCTCACAGCCTGGATTTTCCCCCTCTAAAAGAAATCGGCCTATAGTAATAAGAGCCAGCATCCTCCCACCTGGAGGTAAGAAAGATCATAGCGTCAAGTGTGAGTACAGGGCCAGGAAACTGGGTGTGTGTTTGGGGGGCATGGGCAGTTTTCACTGCTGCCTCTATATAACTTTTCAAAATTGAGAATAGGTTTTAGTACACCTGTGCCCGTGGACTCATACATTTCAAATACGTATAAAATATATGTTGATTGACTGTTATTGACAAGGCTTCTGGTCAATGATAGGTTATTCATGGTTAAGTGTTAGATTTTTGAGGGCACAGCAGGGTGGCGCCCCTAGCCCCCACATTGTTCATGGGTCAACTACAGGCTATTCTTACAACAAAGCTAGAGAAAAGAAAATGTTATTAAGAAAATCATAAGAAAAAGAAAATATACTTACTATTCGTTAAATGGAAGTGGATCATGATCAAGCTTATCATCCTCATCTTCACACTGAGTAGGCTGAGGACGAGGAGAAAGAGGAGAGGTTGGTCTTACTCTCTCAGGTGTGCACAGATGGAAGACGTGGAGGAGATAGAAGGGGAGGCAGGAGAGGCAGGCACCGTAGGTGGAACTTTTACTGAAATTAAAAAAAAAAAGTGTAAGCAAACCCACACAGTGTGAACCTGTGTTGTGCAAGGGTCAACTGTATCTAAATGCCTGCATCGTGCTCCAAGAAATGGTGGCTCTTGTGACGACTTACTGTTCCATAGCCTCTGGGAGCTGGAGTAGCACTTTAATGAGTAGCTCCAGGGATGAGGCAAGCAGGTACAGAGTCCAGATGCTGCCACTGTGATCAGATTCCTTCCCTTTAGCCTCCTTGTTGAGGCCAAGTTCAGATGCAGTGCCTGAGGCTGGCCTGGCTGGTAGCACTTATCCAGGTTATAGGCATTCCTGCTGTCACTTGCTCCTGAGAACTGGCAGCTGGATGAGGATGCCTCAGAAGGTAGAAAGTCCAAACGTTGCTGCATCCTTCTCCATCTTTGATTTTTCTGAACATCCTGAGGTTAACCCACATCTGTCCCTGGTTACTGATGGTTGTGTCTATACTCTCTCATGCCGAATAATGTGACTCCTAGGCTGAAAGTTGTATCCTGACCCGTCTCTGTTCTTTGGTTTCCCCAAAATGTCTGCCTGGTGGTTCATCTCCAAAACCTGAGATCCGCAGTGCGACTTGTTTCAGTAGTAGGTTGTGAGGTTCTTTTTTGGCTTTCAGTCAGTCATTTATTTTAAAAAGCCAGCAAAAAGCACCCCCTACAGACACCACTCCCCAAACCAGCTCCTATGGAACAAAGAAAGCTGAATACTGGGAAAATTACTTGTGCCTGTGTTGCAGATATAGAAATTCGTGGAATCTTGTGGGACATTCCGTTCCACTAGCAGGATTCCAGAACAGCATTAGGAGGACATCGGCTCATTTGTGTTACTTGCTGGGAGTTTTGGAAGTTGAGCAATCATTAGCTAGTCTCTGTTTTATATTTGCTCCTCAAAATCCACATTTGATTCTTGGGAACATTGGAAGTGGAATTTCTTTCTCTCCAGCCAGATTGGATTTGGATAATTTCACCTTGCCTATTTAAATCACCTCTGATTTCACCTCTGGAAAAGGAGGAGACTTGGATTTCTTTGGACAGAAAACTGAGTTGTATATTTACCCTGTCTTCTTGTCCCATGATCTGGGTCAAGACTACTTATTCAAGTGGGAAAGTCTGAGTCAGACTAAGGATCAAAGTCCTCATCTTCACTCACCTGGTATAAAAGAGAAACAGTCGGAAAAAACTCTGCATAGTGGCAAAGCTTTAGCAAGCAATGTCACTAACTTCTCCAGCAGCAAACTTAGAGGTAAATTGTGCTGCAGCAAGCCAAAAGTTAATTTCATCCAGAAAAGCAAGATAAATTAAAAAGCAAATTGCTTGCCTGCTCCTCCTTGCTCTTCCAGTATCTGTCTGAGACTGGCCCTTGAGGTTGTTGGATAATAAATCTTTCAGGCTCACCTCCTATTTCCAAGAATTTTTAAGTTGTGGCTGACTCCCGCTAGGATATTTTAGCATTGAGAAGCCACATGATGGCATGGAAGGGACAGAAGTGACATGCTGTAAGCTCTCACTTCCAGCCCTGTTTCTACCACCTCTATTTGCTTAGAGATTTAGCTGCCATTCTAGCCTGCTACTTGATCTTGTCACCTTGGCACAGATATTCTCATGAGATTTTCTTGGAGCCATTGACAGTAGGGAAGGTTAGCATTTTAAAATGCTATTGTAACAATCATCTACAATCTTTCCTTAAGTGGTTTTGCCATCTGACAGGCAGGAGTTTCAGTAATTCCTCCAGTGCCATCTACCTTGGTTTAAGGAGCTATTCTGGTGGATAATGCTGAATAAGTGAAGATACTCTATTTGATCAGAAGGTCCCCTGTCCTAAGGAGAGCAGCCCCGGTTCTGAGAAAGCCCAGGTCTTTTTCAGATGTAGTGTGCCACCCATGCAGGAAGGTTTACTAAGCTCTTTCAGGGAGCCCACCATGTAGAAATCCAAACCCATAGCTTCACCTCCAAAGAGCTTATGATGGAATAATTCTACCTCAGGCTTCGGTTTCAGCTCCAAGTTGAGTTCCAGGGAAACTGGAATGAAATGGATATAGGAAGTAGTAAGACTCCTGGACTAGCAACTTGGTCCTCTCTCAGCCACTCTCTAGACTGACCACACTTAACCTGACTACCAATCCAACCACCTAACTCTGCACCTCCCTTTCTTCAATGGAGAGCAAGGAAATGGTCCTCTGGTGCTAATAGTCTGCACTCTGTGTTGACACCCATCAATATAGTTCTCATTTCCTTTACCTAGTTTTGGGAGGTGGTCTGTGCCTCAAGCCTTCTGCTGTTGAGTATCCATGCTTCCTAATTCTCATGGTATCTTCAGTCGTGTACTTCTGAGGCTTTACTCTCCTGGCTAAAGATGTAGGGAAGGGGCTCAATGTTGGTGAAGTTACTTCAGGGAGAGCAGCTCAACTTCTGTTTTACTTTCTGGGCTTCACCTGAGATTTTATTTGAGGAGAGGACTCTGGAAACAATTAAGGCGTCTAAATATCTCTAGTGTGGACTCATTCCTCATTTGGACGCATTGCTCTTGTCATCAACATCCTCTGCTTGTCATGACATGTAGGTGGCATTTTCCAGGGTTTACTTTGGTTTTCTGCTCCTCTCCTATTCTTCTTGGGTGAGTTTCCGCTATAGGGTTTGAAATAACTACTTCCCAGATATCTACACCCAGATAGAAAACTCAATTTATCCAAAATGGAATAATTCTCCTCCCAGCTGTCTTACTTCATTAGAACTGCTGTAAGAAAATCGCTTACACTAGGTAACTTACAAACAACAAAAATTTATTTCTGACAGTTCTGGATGCTAGGAAGCCTAAGATCAAAGCATCAGAAATTGGGTGTCTGATGAGGGCTGGTTTCTCATAGTTGGCAGGAGGGGCAAACAAACTTCTTTAGGCCACTTTTATGAGAGCGCTAATTCCATTCACGAGGGCTTTGCCTGCGTGACCTAGCCACCTCCCAAAGGCTCCACTTCTTAATATCATCACACTGGGGATTAGGTTTCAACCCACAAATTTGGAGGTGGGGGAAACAAATATTTAGACCATCCTTAAGTCTCTTCTGTAGTCTCCATCTCTTTGGTGGCATCATCCACCACATAGCCTCCTAATTCAGAAACTTGAGACTTACCCAATTTTCAGTTTCTCCTTCTTCCGGAGTACCACATAGGTTGGTTGCGTTTCTCTGATATCTCTTCAGTGAATCATCTTCTTCCTGTTCCCTCTGCCATGGGGTTTAGTTCCCTAAGCTGACAAAGTAATCTTAATAATAAAATAGAAATATAATTTTGTCTGTCTTTTGCTTAGAATCCTTGCCCTGGCAACCCCATTACCGACTAGTGAGGTCTGGACTCCTTAGCATGGCAGACACAGTTCCTTGTGATCTGGCCTCTGCTTGCTGCTTTCATATTCCTCTTCTCTCTTGCACCTGATAGTCCTACAATATCTAAATTCTTGTGGTTTCTGAAATGCATCATGCTGTCAACATTCCTCACCCTTTCCCCACATGCATTTTCTCTGTCTAGAATGCCTTTCTGCCCCTGTTTACTTGAGGAATTACTGGTCAGCCTTCAAATAGCAGGCTTAGAAGACAGCTTCAAAGACTCTTCATAGACAGGGTTACTCATTGCCCTCCTGCCATAGACTGTACCTTTGCTGTATCCCTTATGATGACGTATTATAATTTGTTTGCATACCCTCATTTTCTTCCAGGCTGTGAGCTCCTTGAAGAAGGAATATGTCTTTATTATTTTTCTAACCTCAATGCCTGGCACAATGTGTGAGGCATGGTTGATGCTCAGTTAAGCTGACTTCTCACTGAAAGTAGCTGAGTGCCAAATTACCAAATTATAGGGTTTCTTAGTGATAACGACGTAACTCACTTATTTTATTCTAAGTTGTCAAAACAGCCATATGTTTTAAAGCATCCAGTCATTATTCTGCCTAGAGAGGAATAAAGCAAATGGGAAACCCAAACGATGAGGAAAAGCATTTTGCATTTTGCATAAGGTGCAAATTAAAACACCTAGGTAAATAGTAAGAGAGATGCAGTGGGGGAATTTTAGCGTTAGTTCCTCAGGAAATATTTGCAGCTAATACTTTTAATTGATACTTTCCTGGAGCTGTGAATGTTCTACCGCGTGGCTGATTTGTTCTCATTTATTTTTACCTTTCAGCTGGCTTTATCTTTGTATAGATTATCTTCTCTGGTTCCATTTTAATTCCAGTTGCTCATGGTGTGCTACGAAAGGAAAGCGGCTCGGGGCCCGTTGGGATTTCATAGCCATTTGATTCAAAAATTTATTCTAGCGAAACCCCTTTAAACTGTGGTGCTTAAAACCTCATGGATAATCAAATGAGATGAAGAAATGATCCCCTCTGGGAAAACATACTTCAATTTGTAAAATATTTCCCTCAGATGTCTTAGGAGGAAAGGGAATGTTTTCTGAGAATCTCACTGGCAGTGTGATGCGCTTTGTGTTAGAGGCGACCCCCCTTGGAGTCTCTTCAAAGGCCGGGTCAGGACCAAGGCGTTTGAATACTCCTGGCTCCTGGAGCTGTACATGTTTCTGTCTGAGGTCCCTGCCCCCAAGAGAGTCTCTTCCTTGAGGAGTTGGCAAGAAGAGGGAAGCTAGAGGTTAAGAACCTTGCTTTTTCAGGTAAAAGCAGCTCATTTCTTCTTTAAGTGAATGCAGTAGAAGCTGACTTCAGTGAGGGAACCCTGGGGTGGCTAACCCTCCCCAGGCCACCTAAATTTAAAAAAATGTATATAATTGAGTACGACTATTGACCATTTCTTAATCCTATGTGGAGTGTAAATGATGCTTTTCCTGGAGGTTTTGCTGTTACTGATCTATGTTAAGCAACCTGAGTAAGAATAATGGACTTGCTGGGAAACACAACTTCAACATCCGTTTCCTAGATCCCTCTTCCAATCAGTTTGCCATACCTAATCCCTTCTATAGGTTAACCATGAATCGCCCTGCTGAGTTTCTCAGTGGGTTGGAAATCCTGTTTCGTGAGCTCTACTGCAGTTCATTCAAGGCCACATCTAAGGAGAGTCAGCCAATGGCCACTTAGGCAGAGGCGTGAACCACATGTCCAGAGACACAGCTGAAGCTCCTTCCGCAGCTGCCTTTCAGGAGGCTGTGCCTGCCTCTCTGCACTGCTGTTTTTTGTTTGTTACTTGTTTTTAAGTCATAGTTACTGAGGTGTGACTTACATAGAATGAATTTTTTTTAATAGGTGAACAATTGTATGACTTTTGACAATGTAAACAGCCATGCTATTACTACTGCCGTCATGATCTAGAATATTTCTACCACTCCAAAAACTTCTCTTTTACCTCTTTGTAGTCAATCTCCTCTTCCACTCTCAGTCCCTGGCCATCACTGATCTATTCCTCTTCCAATACTTTTGCCACTTCCAGAATGTCATGTAAATGGAAGCACATGGTATTTAGACCTTTGAGTCTGGCTTCCTTTACTTAGAAAAATGCTGACGTTTATGTTATTGCATGTATCAGTAGTTTGTTCCTTTTTATTGCTGAGTAGTATTTTATTGTATGGATGTTCCACAACTGGTTTATCCATTCACCAGTTGAAGGACATTTAG